AACATGTTAATATGTTCGATGATGATTCCACCTCATCCGAATATAGCGAAGAAGAATTTTGATTTTTCTAGCAATTTTGTTGGCCTCTATTATTTTGTAAATATATGTTTGACGAAAATTAGGTGTGATTATTTGTGTTTCCATTGTATTTTAGAGTCTTCGACTCGGAAATCAACTACCTTGAATTTCGAAGTTTTTCATAATTACCCATTGTGGAAAAATTCAGTTGAGATAACTTTTTCATGGGGTGATCAATTGCTATGATTGTAAGAATGAGTAACTGAAAAACTACCACACTGAAAAATAATATGCCGACGCCTATGTCGAGGCGGGAATTCCTTCTCTGTGCTGTTTCGATTGGTATTGGAAATACTAAAGTAGAAAGTGCCCTGTGCCTCTTCGCCTTTGATACTGTCAACCGCAGTTGTAGAAAAAACGTGAGACATTGAAACCTTCAGATAATTGCCTACAAATCCGGAAATACCAAATAGTATCTCTCAAAAATTTCATCAAATGTTTCAGAACACACATTCTAAACAGGAATTTGCTATAATCGTAAAAATGGGCTCTATGAGTGAGCTTACAAATAAATTACCAAAGAAGACTGACAAGAAAGAACAAATGGATGCATTATCAACCACACAGTTTTTCCTTTCAACAAAAAGCATTTCCTCATTTATTCTCTCTTAACAAACTTTATTTTATCCTCTTAGAAATTCCATTAGATATCAAATGTAAATCACAGTCCGCCTGAGCGCGATACATTGTGTACTCCATGAAAGGATTTTTATTGTATAATTGTCAAGGTGAGCTTAGCGTGTTCTTAAAGGTTAAAGTAACTTTCACATTAACAGTCGAGCATTAAACGCAAGATAATTTTCTTATTGAACCGATCGGGAATTAGCTTTTATTGTATCTTTAACAATCAAAGTAATTTGCATGTAGGTTCATGTGCCAGAACAATGATCTCATTATGGGCGGGGTTCTTTTGTGTTCATTCAGTTCTAGTAAAAAATACAGTCTTTGAATTGAGTGACTGAAAACTGTATGTGACTGTTGGATTTGAAGTCACAAGTTTTTTCCAGCCTCTCAGTATTAGGAACAGTACTGGCTTTTAGCGAAGTTGAAAACTTTTCTGAGTGGCAATAAGACATTAGTTTAAATTGAGAGGGTTATATAACCCACACATGGTTTGAAAGTTACTTAGAGGGTAGATACTACTATGTAGAGGTTA